TACATAATAGCTACCTTTGTACTGTGGGGAGATAGAAAAATGTTTTTTTTTCCCTTTCCCTTTATTCTTTTTACAGTATACATCATATTTCTGGTTAGTTTTATCACTATTTTATTTCACATATTTATAAAATTTACAGACCACTCATCTTACTTCAATATAACTTCATGGCCGTTTGCTAGTTTGTTATTCATACATTATATATAATGTTTGTTCAGGTTTTATACTTTTTATTTACAGTACTTATATTAAAAATAAGTTTTGTTGGTCTTGCAATTCAGCTCCCAATAAGGTGGATGGAATATTTTTTTAGTGCTTCACTTTTCTGAAGTATGTATATTGTTGAATAGTAATGAATGGATACCAAGAGCAGAGAGAATGTTTAGGAAATTTGAATGTTTCCTGTGTGATTTTCCCCAGCAGATTTGTTAGTGATCGCAACTTGCAAAGTTCCGATGCAAATTGCTCCATGACAAAAAGTACAGCTTGCCTAAGGTATTTTTCCAGAAGAAATTCCACAGAGCAACAAAAATTATTAGGAGCCTAGAGGCTAAAACATGAACAGTTGCAGAAAGTGGGTATGTCTAGTTTAATGAAAAGGAGTACTGGCGACAGGATAGCAGTGTTTCAATATTTGAGGGGCTGCCATAAAGAAGTGGGGGGAGGATCAACCTATTTTCCATAGCTCCAGAAGGCAGGACGGAAAGCAATGGATGGAAACTAATCAAGGAGAAAACCATCGTAGAACTAAGGAGAAATTTCCTGACAGAACAATTTCTGACAGTGAAAACCAACTTTTGCCTTCAGAGGTTGTGGGTGCTCCATCATTGGAGGCTTTCAAGGAGAGTGGACAGCCATTTGTTCGGAATGGTATAGGGTCTCTTGCCTGAGGTTGGACTAGATGACCGCCTAGGTACCTCCTATTCTGTTATACTATGTTCTATGTCCATTCCACCAACCCTTAGCAATAATTAGCTATTGCAAATTGTTTTTCAAGGCAGCCAGTGGCAGATCAAGACTCACTGGTGTCTTAAGCACTGACAAATCTTGATGACCCTCCTTTGTATATACTGTACAAATCTTCATTGTTTTTTTTTTCTTTCTCATCTTTGTGGTGCCCCCTTTGGGCCTGATGCTCTAAGCACATGCTTAGTCTGCTTAATGGCTAATACACCACTGAAGGCAGCGGAGCAGCCTCTGGTCCCCTTCATTGGGAAGGAAGAGCCTCTGCCCCTTAAAGAGAGAAAGCTGCAGATTCTAGCTTCACCCCATCAGAACTCTGCCTGCCTGGCTTAGAGGGAAATATTAGGGGACCATTACTTAAACAATTTGTTAACAGCTAATAGGACAGTCAGTGATAAGTAAGTGTGTGTGTGTGTGTGTGTGTGTGTGTGTGTGTGTGTGTGTTGGCCAGGAACAAGGGAAAGTTGGCTGTCCCTTGTAACACTTTGCACACGGAAAACTCAGATCCTTCTTTGCTTCTTCTGTACCCACGTTGGCTTTAGTAAAGCATACTTTTGGTTAACCATGGATAGAATGTTTTTAAGTCAAGGGCACGTGTAAATAAATAATATAATGAGCAATATAGAGAAGTTAAAAGAAATTAAACAACACTGTTGTTCCAAAATAACAGGAAACCTGGTTGTCTATGGCAGTGTTTTTCAACCTTTTTTGTGCAAAGGCACACTTTTTTCATGAAAAAAATCACGAGGCACACCACCATTAGAAAATGTTAAAAAAAATTAACTCTGTGCCTATATTGACTATATATAAAGTAATTCTCCCACGGCACACCTTACACTATGTCACGGCACACTAGTGTGCCGCGGCACAGTGGTTGAAAAACACTGGTCTATGGAGATTTTCTGTCATCCAGGCCATGATTGTCCCAAAGCCCAAAGGTGCTTTTTCAAGAGGCAACTGGACTTCCTTGTTTTTCTTTGAAGAGCTGAAGAAACTTCTTGGATGAGAAGCAAAACGTCTTCAAAGCAAGGCAAGAAAGTCCAGTTGCCTCTTGAAAAAGTACTTTTAGAAAATCTGGTTCTTTTTCAAAATTGGGAATACTACTACTTTTCCAGTTTCTTAAAGCAATTTTCTTAACAGTAACCTCTGCCTGATACAGCTGTAATTCCATACAGTCAAATTTCAAAGTATGAGGATAAAATTTACTATGAAATTAACCTTTCTAATGTTCAGATCTTTATAATACTTGTAGACCAGTTTAAAGAAGGTGAGGTACAGTAAAAATATAAATATAAAAAACCCCTATAAAATGCTAGAAGACATAAAATATACATGAATTAAAAACTGAAAGTATATAAAAGGTACTGGATGATCATGTAAAAAAGGGAAAGGCTTCCCTGTCGTGTCTGACTCTAAAGGGTGTGTGTGCTTATCTCTGTTTCCTAGCCAAGGGAGCCAGCGGGTTCCAAAGACATTTCTGTGGTCATGTGGCCACCATGACTGTATGCCAGAGGTGCACAGAACGCTATTACATCCACACCGAAGTGGTACCTATTTATCTACTCACACTTGCATGCTTTTGAACTGATAGGTTGGTAGGAACTGGAGCTCACCCCATCGAATGGCGCTCAGGTCTCAAACCTAGGCTGCTGGCTTTTCAATTGACAACCTCACCTTCTTTAACCGCTAAGCCATCACAGCCCCCTTGGATTTAGGGGAGCATAAAGGCTTCTATGTGGAAGGATATCAAGTTACAAGGCATTCTAATGTGGCAAACTAGGAGCCCATTAAATCCAGTTTATAACACAAGTCACCACCCAACCAATTTTGAGCAATGCTGCACAGAACTCGGCAATACCGTATGTTATACAGCTAGACAGGATAGTCATAAAGTGGGTCAACCAGATGACCACCCCAATTTTACAGCCTTTTTAGCAGCAGTTATTAAGTGCATGCAGCGGTCGTAATGTGAAGCCATTGTTCACAGTGAGGCATTTTTATCAAGAACCCAAAGTAAACATCAGTTTTTGTCAAATTGTGGCCATGTTACCACTGAATGCTGCAAGTGAGCATAAATGAGGGCCAGTTGTGGGGCTCCCAAAATGCAGTCCCATGACCGTGGGGGGGAGGGGGGATCATTGGAACTAAGTGGTAAGTAGCCTTACCAGAAGTCCCTCATAACTTTAAACAGTCGCTAACCAATTGGTCATAAGTCAAGGACCACCTATAGCAGGGTTAATGACTGAAAAAAAATGTTAAAATATTTGTCCATAAATGTACATACAGTATTATTTTTAAAAGGTGTCAAACTCTCATAAGACCAAATCAAATGAATCAATGAGTCCACAAATGTTTTGCATCACCAACCCAAAAAAAATCTAGCATTTGTCTTGTATAAATTTTAAGTTTTAAAAAGAACATAAAACCTATGGACAAAGACAGAGAGAGGGAGAGAAAGAAAAAGAAAGAAGGAAGGAAGGAAATATTCAGAAAGAAGGAATAAAAAAGAAATAGAAGCTCCCAATTTCCTTTGCAGCAAATATAAATCCAATTTACAAAATTTTCTCTTATTCTATGATTACAAAAAAGCTCACTTTTTTCCTATTATCTAGTGTTTTCTTCTAATCAAAACCACAAATCATTAATGCATTTTTTCTGTTTCATGCAAAAGGATTATAAGGGTTTCCAGTCAGCCATCAATGTAGATATTGTGTTTTCTCTGATCAAGGTCAACTCAAGTTCTTCCACCCTCACCAACCTTTCCTCCATTGTGGGTAGGATTGAACCTTTTCTTTAATAGTGCCACTGCAGTTATCATACATAAAAAAAAACAAAGTTCTATGACTTTTCTAGTTACTTATCCACTAGTTCAAAAAGTTTCTGGTTTCAATTGAACTTTAAAATGTTCTGAATTAATATGTGTATTTGTATCCTTGGGGAGGGGGGGGGGAATAGGACATCTGTCCTTCCAGATCTGTGTTTTGCAATCTCAGCAATTCTGGGAGTTGAAGTTGATATATCTTAAAACTGCTGAGGCTGAGAAACATGGTTGTAAAGGAATTCTTTGGATCATCCAGCAAACTTGAAATAAAATCAAATGAATCCATTTTAGCCATCAAGACTAAATTCCATACAGGATGGATTCACATAGCTGTGGATGCAGTGGGGAGCCCCCCCCCCCAAACCTGCGGTTGGGTCCCCAGGAACCAACAGTTTTGAAGGATTTGGGGCTGGTTCAGATTCTGGTGCTTCTGGTTTGTTGTCTCCTGGGGCAGAAAGTGGCCAGGATTGTCAGTTTTGTGGGAGCCCAGCAATCCTGGCCAGGTCAGGCTGCTGGGTTCCCTCAGGCATGAAGCCAAGACGGCTTTATTTTTGTAAGCCTGAGATGTGCCTTGCATAAAATATTTCTATTAATTTTGCTGCTGCTGCTTCTGATGCCATGGTGAGAGCTTGTTTCTGGCTGTTTCTATTGGACTGCATTTTATTCATCCACACTGATTTCTTTTGCATTCCCAAGTCACGAATTGCCTGTGAAAATTCTGAGTAAAACAAACACAATTCCTTGCAGGAGGGAGAGCCAGGGTGCATTTTGTGGTGGATGCGTTGAAGTTTCTTCTCCAGAATGGGGATGAGGTAGAGGTATTTTCTGCTGGAGGAAGATGCTGTGTGTTTTTCCTCCAAAGGACCAAAATCGATGGATCAGACATAGCGTTTTTAGCCTTTCAAAGAGTCGTGATGTTCCTTCCTGCTTTCTTCAAAGCACATTTGATAATCTAACAGAAACAGGAATTCTCATATTTTCTGGCCTGTCTGTGTTCTGTGTCCTATGACCTCATAGAGCACAGAGCTGAGTTGTTGAACATCCAAATTACATTTTAAAACCCAGAAGCAAGTTTCTAGCACTCAATGTTGCCCACAGAAGTCCATATAAACAAGCGTGCAACCTGCGTGGGGTTCCCCTGGAGAGTCGGCCAGAGAAATGGCCAGGTTTGTGGGCCTAGTCGATGCCAAGGTTCTCTTTGCTCCTTATGTTTCAGCTCGCAACCCGCTTCAGTCATGGGGAAGCAGAACAGCAAACTGCGTCCAGAAATGCTCCAAGACCTGCGGGAGAACACCGAATTCTCCGACCTGGAACTCCAGGAGTGGTACAAGGGCTTCTTGAAAGATTGCCCCACGGGCATCCTCAACGTGGAGGAGTTCAAGAAAATCTATGCCAACTTCTTCCCTTACGGGGATGCCTCCAAGTTTGCCGAGCACGTCTTCCGCACTTTTGACACCAATGGCGACGGCACCATCGACTTTCGAGAGTTCATCATCGCGCTGAGCGTCACTTCCCGGGGGAAATTGGAGCAGAAACTGATGTGGGCATTCAGCATGTACGACCTCGATGGCAATGGCTACATCAGCAGGGAAGAGATGCTGGAGATTGTCCAGGTGAGCCACCAGCCCTCCTTCTCCCCCAGCAAAGTCCTGACACCTCCCAAGAGAAACCTTGGCTGATCTCTTTGGCCAACCCACAATAGCAGAATCTTCATGGGTTGCTAGAGCTGAAGTCAGAGGCCCAGATCTGTGAGCCAGCCAGGGAGGCATCTTTCAACAGCTTTTAGCATAAGGCTGACGGCAAGATGCAAACACCCATAGCATCCCAGCTCCCAGAGGATTGCAAGCCTGAAATACGGGGGTGGGGGTTGCTAGTTTTTAAAAGAGGCATAGTAAAATTTAACATGTTATGTGAACTCAACACAGGGCATGAAGGTTCAGTGAACTGGCAGTCATGAAATCATAAATTACACTGTAGGGCTCACCCATTCATTCGTTCCCTCCCTTCCTCCTTCCTTCCCACAAGCTTTGGGCAGCTGCCCCAACAGCAGGCTCTTCTGCAGTCAAGATGAAAGGGGAAAGGATGAATGGTGGGAAGAACTGAGGAATTCATAGCCCCTTTTGGCCTAATTTTTGAATCTTGTCCTTTTAAAACAGCATCTTCCTGACTTCCGGGAACCCCAATATACAGCTAAAACAGACATCATCAGTGAATGGGCCATGAAGTTGGCCATCCTGGTTCTTAAAATTGTTATTTCCCCCTACCCTCCTCCACAATTAATCAACTAAAGCCATGGGTTAATATGCTGAGTGAAGTGATTAAAGCGGGGACCCTAATTACTGAGTGGGAAAATCTAGTCTGCAAAGGGTAACTAATCTTAAATGTGCTGTTAATGTCGCAATTAAACTGATGAAAGCTTTTAGCTTTCAGGCTGAGCCAGAGCCGGTCAGAAGAGGGCTGGGAGCTGCAGAGGTTTCTACCAATTTTCCTCTGGTTTGTTCTCCCTCTCAGCTGTTTTGCCTCTGGCTGCTTCCATTGCAGAGGTGCCAGCCCTGTCGGCTGAGGGGGATGCGGCTCTTGTGCCATTCCTTCCTTCAAGACTTCTGGGGAATGAAAGGAGAAGCAGAAGCTGCGTGGGAGAACAGGATGCTGAGGGTGGGAGGCAGCAGAGCCATCTAGAAATTCCCTGGAAAAAATGTCTTTGGATACCCCTGAGACTCTCTTCATTGGCTCAGAAGGAAAGCCCCTCCTCCTTCGCCCCTGGGAGCTCCGTAAATGCAGGTTGCGTTGGGTGGAGGCAGAGCTGCAGGCAGAGGGGGGCAGATTAGAGGAAGGGAATTGGGGGAGAGTATAGGGCACTTGTGTTCTCGCTCTCCTACAGTTCTCCTCTGCTCCCTCAAATGAGCTTTTGCAGGCAGTAGAGGTTCAGTTTATGCACATGCAGAATGGAATAGACTTGCAAAGGGTCCAAGGTTATATCTCTGGATATTGGCAGCTTCCAGAACTGATTCCCAGGTAGGAACAGGGATGACAGAGGCATCACCTGAAGCCAGGGGGCCTCAAATGTTTTAAACGGGGCCAATTCACAGTCTTTCAGATTGTTGGGGGGGGCAGACCGGCTGGGTGGGCGTGGCTAGGTGGTCATGTAACTGGATGGGCATGACTAGGTCATGTGACTAGGTGGGCGCGTCCAGTTTAACAACACATCAAACAATGCACACAAATTAAACTTTAATTTGTTTTAGCAAATCTTCTCAGCCCCAAGGAGCTTCAGAAATATCTATCAATCTATCTATCTATCTATCTATCTATCTATCTATCTATCTATCTATCTATCTATCTATCTATCT